AAATTATTACATTCATTTTTGTATTAAATAAATTGGTGTCGGAATTATTTTTGGCTATGATCATTTTGTTTTCGGTTTAAATTTAAATGTATTTTTGATGCGACGCAATGAACTTGGAGCGATGCGTAATTGTTGTGCCATTTAAAGTACGTATGCAACGTTCGTAAATGAATTGAATCTATAGTTCAAATCAGCAACACGTGTGTTTGCGATTGACGCATTTTTAATGAACCAATATTCAATATTATGATCATCACCATCGACCAATGTGTAACGAAAATATTTTTCGATTATTGCCTCATTGCTATTTTTATTTTCTATATAAATATTCTATATTTAGTTCTACGTGTAATGTATTGAGCTATTTTTCTGTTTTCTCTTTACGACTCCTTTGGATACATATTTGGATCAACCTTCTCATTTTAAAATCACATTGAAAATAAAACAACAATTAATTACTTCAGTTCATAATCCAATGATTTGGAATTTGTTTTGGAATTTGTTCAACATAAACACTGTATACTTACACACATACTGTTAACCTTCTGACTGTGTTTGGGTAAATAGAACATGGACTGTGTTTAGTGACATTTTTGTCATCTAAAAATAACATGTTTTCAATATTTTCCTTTGAATTTATATGATATTCGATTGAATACAATATTATCTTCATTATTTATGCCTTTATTTATATCATATAACACTGAAATCTATTCTTTGAACCATCCGAAAGTTCGATGTGTAGTGGCTGCGTTTGACAGTCAACTGAATTCTGATATAGTGATTTTTCTACTCGTCATCGAGATATATAATAGATTTAATGGTCGGAAGAGCATTCCCAAAGTTTCAGATAAAAAATTTCATGAAAAGTTATTTTTTTCACTTTTCATAATGAAAGTGACAAAAGTGTCACCAAACACAGTCACACACCTAAATCTGTCATTTTAAAATTTAGTGTATGATGTAAATAAACCGCTAAACAAGTGACATCTGGTCGTTTAGTGACTAATGTAACTAGAAAGTAGTGACATTTTTCGTTCGTTTATTGCTAGATGTAAATCAACTCGCGTATAAGTGTCATCGGCTACTAGTTTACATATTCCATATTTTGGTGTGCAGAAGGTTAAGCAACAAACTACAGTGAACGTTAGGAAATCTTTGGTATCAGAAATCTTAATCGTGCAGAAAACTTATGCAAATCTCGGCTCTGAGCGTTTTGAAATCTTAAGTTTTTTGAACAATTTCATTTCTATAAATATTATGATTTCCATAATTGGATTCAGCTGAATTGAGCTTTTACACTCAACCTTTCAATCAATAGAGATATTAAGCCCAATCCATTGGTATTTGTCCGATGGACATATACAAAGCAAAAAGTAACATAATTAAAGT